CAGGTCTAGGAATTTTGACTTGAAGTTTTGGTGGCTCTTGCTAATGCCATATTATTTTGTGATGCCAGAAATAGAAGGAGCAGCCAGAAGAAGATTTCAATATGATAGAGGTTGTGTTTGAAGTGCCTGAGTAATTATAGAGGGATGTCAAAAGCAACTGGTAATATATGGCTGGAGATTTGGTTAAAGACACTATACTGAGGGCTCGGCGCCTGTGGCTCAAGCGGCTAAGGCGCCAGCCACATACACCTAAGGTGGCGGGTTCGAATCCCCAGCCTGGGCCCGCCAAAACAGCAATGATGACTGCAACCAAAAAATGGCCGGGCGTTGTAGTGGGCGCCTGTGGTCCCAGCTACTTGGGATGCTGAGGCAGGAGACTTGCTTGAGCCCAGGAGTTAGAGGTTGCTGTGAGTGTGATGCCATGGCACTCTACCCAGGGGGATAGCTCAAGGGTCCGTCTCAAAAAAAAAAAAAAAAAAGACACTATACTGAGGAAGGAAGCCTGAGGGCTGCACATGGTGGCTCCTGCCTATAATCCTAACACTCCGGGAGGCTGAAGTAGATGGATTGTCTGCACTCAAGAGTTCGAGACCAGCCTGAGCAAGAGTGAGACCCTGTCTCTACTAAAAATACAAAAAACTAGCCAGGCATTGTGGTAGATGCCTGTAGTATCAGCTACTTTGGAGGTTTCAGCGAGAGGCTCACTTGAGCCCAAGAATTTAAGGTTGCTGTGAGCTCTGATGCCATGGCACTCTACTCAGGGCAAGCAAGCGAGACACTGTCTCAATAAAAGTGAAGCCTGAGTCTAAAAACGGGTTCTAGTTTATTGATTTCACAAAGTATTCTCAGCTTTATAACTGTATAGTTATTCTTATGCCTTTGTAACTGTCCCATAAACTCTACTTGTTTCTGAGTTATTCTTAGTAAAGCCCTTAAAATGAGAAAGGTTTTACATTTACTTAGGGTCAAAATAATGGGAGAGTAATCTTTCAGCTTTTTCCAGAATTTTGAAGAACAATTTAAGACTTGTGTCAGTAACTGCGCAACCACCCAGAATGTTTACCTTTTTTTGTTGAGTGCCTGATGCATATCAAGCACTGTTTTACGTGTTGGGAATATGTAATAGGCTTGGTAAATAAATATATAGCATTGCATTCTATTTTAAGTTCTAGATTAGGGACAGTGGTAGAGTCTTTTGGGGATGGAGTCAGGGAATGGGTCATAAAGGAAGTGATGCCATCAGGTGAGGTGAGCACAGGAATTTGGTTTCAGGTGAGGGGATGAGTAACTGATGAGACTATGCAAAGCCCTAGAGTACCCAAAGCTTTCTGGGGGGAATTGGAAAGGCTGGGGGAAGAGGAAGTAAATTGAGAGAGGATGGTTGAGATGTTAGAAAAGAATAGATACTTAAGGCTTTGCGGCATTATTATGAAGACCATGTGAAAATCTTTTTAAAAGGAGTAACGTAATGAGATTATCTATCATTTTAGGAAGATCCCTGAATACAGTGGTTGTAGTGTAGGGAGGTTCAAACTCCAAGGGAGCTTTCATAGTCATTGTATCTATGATGGGGTTTATTTAGAAAGTTACTTTTTTCCCAGCTTTTTTGGGGATAGCTGAATTAATAGGGTTCTTTAGTAGGCCTGTGAATTTTACTCATTCAGACCGTCATGGTGGTGTTGTGGCTAGTGAGGAATGAATAATTCTTTTTCTCATTTGGGCTAGATGCCAAGCTTGTCCTTCTCCCAAGTAAGTAAAGAATTAAACTGGGGCCAGATTAAAGGGGGCTCACTGATTTGAGAAATTCAAGTATAGTAAGTTGCCCCAAATGAGCAGTATATTTTAATTTGTTTTGAAATGTTGTCTTTGTTTATTTCATCCTTTGAGCTATCAGAAGATCCCTTTTATTAGAAAACAAAAGTAGAGACTACCTGTTTAGAAGAATTGTTTAAATAGAAGTTATGTAGAGAATAGGAGACAACATATTAAATCTCCCTGATCAGTAACCTGAAAGTTTCAGAAAATAAAGCATAGGTAAGTCTTACTGATGAGATGGAGCAGCAGTGAGAATTTGGGCTAGTAGAGGAGGTTAGAAGATGGGGTTGGGCAAAGGGAAGGAGAGAAGCTTTCACGTGGTGAATAAGAATGTTTTTTAGACTTTGGCCAATTTTCTTTATCACAAAGCCCTACCTACTTGTTTCAAATGGAATAGTTTTTCTGCTTATCTAGTCACTTAAACCAGAAAACTAGGAGCTATCTACACATTTTTTTCCTTCTATGATTGTTTATTCAGTTCTTAAAAAAAAAATCTTTCATGTTTTCTCATATTCCTCCTAATGCTTCCCTTCCTTCTTCACCCCTTTATGCTCATCAGTACTGGTTAAATTTAGGTGTTCCTGTCTTTCATGGGATATTACATCATTTCCTTGCACCCCATAGATCTAGGCCCATTAGGTGCTTCCTAATCTTAACACATGCTCTTGTAAAAAAATTCAAATCTGTATGATGTTTTTTCTTCCTTAATTGGAAAGTGTTTCCAGAGACAATAGATCTTTTGATTTCTTTTTTTTTGATGAGGAGACAAATTTTCATTTTTAGCAACAGGGTCTCGTGCTGTGTTGCCTGGGAGGCTAGAGTATGGTGGCTATTTATACATGTAATCGTTGGGCCTCTATGGCCTGGAACGCCTGGCCTCAAGGGATCCTCCTTCCTTAGCCTCCCGAGTAGCTGGGATTATAGGCACTATAACTGTACTTGGCTCCAGAAATCTTCATTTTTTTTTTTT